CTCTAAAGACTTCCATTACAGATTTAGCTTCTCTCTGGTTATTTTTTAAATGTTTTTGGTTCTAACGCATGGTCCTTTTCAAACTTGATTATGTAGATAAATTAGGCATGTCTCTTCCAATTGCACACATTCATGGATATATTCAGAGTTTAGACAGGTTTCCCAGAGTATGAGACTCTTGCTTATCTTGCCTAGAGCATCTTTTAAAATACTACCATTATTTGCTACCAGTTCTCACAATGGTATTTTTAAAATTTGGCTATTACATTTATGAATAATCTTTTGAGATTTTGAGTCAAAAGCATTTAAGTCTTTTTAATGCCATATTTTGAAAGCAGTTTTGAAATGCTGCATTTTACATATTTCAGCTGCCATTTCTTTAGTTATCTTCTGTTGGTGCCTCAGAGTTAGGTTCCTAAGCATCTCAAGGAAGTATTCATAAACAAAATCTCTCTTACCATCTGGTTTGCATTACTGCTCTTCCATTATCTCAACCCTGGTAATTCTGCCAGTACTTCTGAAGAACCATAGGCTGGGGATTGGTACAGTTGATGTCTAGCTTTGTAGATTTCCTGTTTATTCTTGTTTGCAAAAGTAATACCCTAGCTGGAGAAAACCAGCTGCCATCTAGAAGCCCTTTAAAATGATTGAGCCTTTAATTGAATGCTACCCAGCACTGAGGTACCAATATATTTGTTGTAAAGGTATGAAACATTGGACAATACTTTTTATAATGCAGTTAATCTTGAAATGAAATTGTTTTTTGCTTTGCTATTCGATATTTATTAGAGGATGAATCTTAACCTGTTGTTCTGTTTCATTTTTGCCATGTCTGTGTTTTAGGCTAAATAGGCCCACAGAAGTTACTAGCCAAGGGTAATTTTTACTAACAGGGATATTAGTAGTATGCTAGTTATAGAGGAAAGTACTCTTCCTCCTCCACAGTTGGACAAAAAGAAAATAACCTAGTGGCAGAGGGAATTTCACCTGTAAACCTGCTGGTTGCTTATGGGCTTATCTGCCCCTATGTGGGGTATGGAATATGCATCAGATGAAATAGAAGGAAGTTTTGTTGATGTATCTACAAGTTTACTCTTGCCCAGTTGAGCTGCCAGCTAGAGAATCACACCCACACAGTGGAAAGGTGGCCTTCCAGAAGACTGAGATGTCTTCACTTGTGCAAATTAAAACTTTTGTCTCAGATTCATGGCCATAATTCCCCAACCCCACCTCACCCTCCCATTACGGAAAGTGATGGGCAGTTATTTTCCTGCCGATGTGTGGGACACTTGTTCAGAAGGAAAAATAAAGGCAAGGAATCTACCAATCCTTGTCCTGAAATTGTCCCACATTAAATCCACAAGCATTGTATCTCTTGCTAGCCTTGTTGCTAAGGTCCAGTAAGGCTCTTGAATATGCTGCCTCAAGTTCCTGAATGAAGGCAGGATGTAAAGTTAATACAAAAAGTAAAGATTGCCTTTGGAGAAAATCTCTACATTTGTCCCCTATCACTTCTTGCTTTAAATTTGACGTTTTTCTTGAATACATTCTTCACTGGTACAGAGTTCCACTTCAGAATCTTATGAAGGGGTAGAGGGTGTTGGGGTAGGAACTCACACTCTCCTGTGCATGATCTAGATAATATTTCTTTCAGCTTTCTTTTGATAGTTGTATTTGTGTTTAAATTGTTTTACTTTTCATTAGACAACATGAAGCACATTTTTTTCTATATTTGTCACATGAAACATTTTATACTTTTTTTTCCCTGACCATTTCACCGAGAACATACTTAACAAGTATGATAAAGCATAACAACTGAGCATAATGTGGCTAGAGGGCTTACAGCAGCAACCACACTCTGCAAAAATACATTAAGTCTAGCAGTAAGTTGCATCAAAATCACAGGACATGATGTTTGGTTTGGGTGAAGGCCATATCACTGAAACCTGTATTCTTCTATAATGACATGTCCTCTATCAGTTGTTAGAGTGGGTACAAAAACATTATTTTTGAGGCAGTAAAAGCTAGTAGCAACTCCAGAAAACTTATATAAATAGCCACAAAGGACCCCATCTTTTCTCGTTCCACTTTAAAGGGAGAAAAGGGGCCTGGGTAATGTAGTTCCTGGAGGTTGGTCCACTGAGGAAATGATAGGAAGTCTGAAGGTTATTCTCCAATCCATTGGATCAGCCTTGGGTGGACCTTAAAGAAATCTTACTTGAGAGCAAAGAAATGAAAAAAGGAAGAGAAAGTTTGATTGATAGATTGGTATGATGATAACTGAACTGATGAGCAACTCTAATGGGAAGAGGAATAGGACTGAGTAGTGTGGTGGTCTACTCAGTGGAAGTTGACTTAAGAGTAAAGCACTTTAGAAAATAGGGCCTCCTCAAGCTGCACTTATACACTCAAATTTCTCCCTAAAGAGAAAAGAGATGGAGCTGGGACTGCTGCCAGTATATAAAGATTTTGGAAGAAATTAATTTTGTTGTATAGATGCTGTCTGAGCATTCCCTGTAATAAACAGAGTCATCCAGTTTTGTTTTGTTTTAATTCGCAAAGTGTGTGTATGATTCTTTCAACAACCCAATTTCTGACACTCATTTGGATTTTCACTATCCAAATTCCACCTGTAGGAATGGGACAATTTATTATTGAGCTCTCCTTCTGTAGCAGGAAGCACCATGGCTCATTCTTCCTTAGTATAGCAAAAGTATTTCAAGGCATTGTTTCTACATTATTAGCAATGATTTCCACCTTGAGCTTTCAGAATGAAGCAAGTTGACAATCCATATGGATTTAGTGGAGGTGACTTCTCATGAACATTTGGTGAAAGCATTTCAAGGGCCTTCCCAGGTTCTATGCACATGTATGCATAAGAAAAAAAAATGCTACTGCCAAGCTAAAGTACTGTAGCTTCTGCTTTGCTTCATAGTAAAATCTTCAAATCATTAATTCAATCCTTTGGCTACTTTTTCAGAAAAGAAAATCTCAGACAAAAATAACACTTTGCAATTTGAATAGATGTTGGCACAGAAATAATTTTAAATTTTGATTTCTGCTAGGGATTCTGTTCTGAGTCATTGGAATCTAAGGCTTTTCATAAACAGTTTTTACATATGTTAGTAAAGGGCATAGAAATAATTAATCACATGTTTGAGGTATATATAGCAAAAGTTGTATTTATATGCTTACATATGCTTTACTTTTAATTGAGATACCCAGAACTTTATTAGAATATGGAATTTGGTATACATTTGTATGGCTAATCCTGCAGAGGTAAAATCTTCAAGAAGATTATGATAGGATGAAATTGACAAGATAGTTAATAAAGGATGAGGTGTTCCTAATTAATCCACAGTGCCTATAGTTGAAAATTAATTGTGTTATGCAAATGTCATGTTAATTAAGAGAGAATATGAGAGTACAATAAATCTTTTAAAAACCATTCTTTGTGTTGGCAACAGTAGGTTGATAGGTTAGTGCTTCTCAGCCTACCAGAGCCTCAGCTTTTCAGTGATGTCTTGATGACTTACTAAATTATTACTGTAAAGCTGGGTTTTACTGCAGACATTCAGAAATACTGTTCTCCTAGCAACATCCACAATCTGAATTCTGTAAATGTATCAGCATACACATGATTGCTTCATACATGGTATTCTCAGCTGGAGATCCTGATCCAGTTCAGCCCAACCAGCCTGATCCTGAACCACAGTTCCAACACAGTGAGAGTCATGAAAATAGGCCATGTATTTGTATTTATATCCAACAGAACTTATAATACCCAGAGTATTAGTTTAATATATGATTGCATATAATTTTGAAATATTGTCATGCTTCTCAAGTCCTTTTTTGGGAAGTGTGGGTGATTGCTATCAGAGGTTTAACAATTATGTCATGATATGAGTTGATTAAGCCTTATAATTTATTTTTCTTAATTTCTCTTCTTCCTCTATTTAGTTATTTATTTAATCAATATAAATAGCTGCCCACTCAGTACACAACTCAGGGCAGTGTAGAATGTCAAATAACAACAGTAAATTCCATAAAAAACATCTAATTGAAAGGCATAAAACAAAACAAAACAAAAAACCAGAGCAAATCAGAATATATAAAGTGCTGGGAAAAAGCACATCAAACAGGCCATACCACTCCCAGACCCAGTGCCTGAGGAAAGAATCAGGTCTGTAATGCCTTCTAAAAGGCAGGCAGGGTCAGGGCCAGCCAGATCTCAGGGGAATGCTGTTCCAAAGGACAGAAGCAGCAACAGAGAAAGAATGTCTCCTTGGTTCCACCAGATGAAGTTGCTTAAGCAGGGGGGACTGGAGCAAGTTGACCTTATCAGATCTTATAGTATGTAATTCAAGGTCAGCAAAATGGTGCTGCCTGTGGGGGCTATGGCACCCACAGTATCCTGGGTAGCATCCGTTGAGCTCCAAAACAGTATTAGCAAAGCACAATAGTGGTGGTAGTGATGATGATCATTTATATTTTTAGGTTAAATGGCTGAAATTTCTGTTCATAAGAAACCTAATGAGATTTGGAATGTATTTAGTTTTTAGTGTTCTAAAATGTAAATGTTCTAATTTTCATTTGTTTTATTGACATCCACAATGTTACATGAAAGTGCATGATGTCTGCTACCTAAAATGTTTGCTGACCCCCGATCTACTTAACAATTTCTAGACTTTGGTTTACCAAATGTAAATAGAAGGGAGGGGAGATGTTCACAGCCACATTAGAGTCATGAAGCTGGGGTTCTTATGTCTTTGGATCTTAGCCAAAATAAAGATGAAACAGAAAGAAATGGCTAGTGGAGAAACAGAAAACTCCAGCAGCCTTATCACTGTTTATCCTTTCCTTTATTCATCCCCACAATATTTATGTTGTGATTCATGCAACCAATATTAACTACCCAAGAAACAGTCTTGTTCTGGATTACCACTATTGAAACGCTAATGTAATATCACTGGAATTAACTGATTGATTTCTATTTCTAGGTGGGCCATGCACAGATACAGCTCATGTTTCTTTAACCACAGCAACCAAAAGAACTTGTGATTCAGGTAAATTTTATTTTTAAAAGAATATATTATGAAAGGGCTGGATAATGTCCACTTCACTAGGCTATTCAGCTGACCAAGAGCAAGATCTCATTCATGAAACCATTGTTCCTATTATTGCAAGCCACCACATTTCATCTTATCTGTGATTTATTATTTACCATTGAAATCAAAAAGGGGGCAAGGTCAACAGAAATGACTCCTGCAAGTATTCCTATGGGAGCACCAATAAGATTGTTCAGATTCAACAAGCCCTCATCCTTCCCTCTGGGGGAGAAAGGATAAAATATGTGCAGAGCCAGCACTAATGCTGTGAGTTGCACTGCAGCTTCCGTAAGCAAAAGTGCCTTTTGCTTATTTGTCTGATGCCCATCTTCTTAAATGATGTAGTCTGCTTGCTGGATAAAACACTCCAGAAGTTACCTCACATATCACTCATTAGGAAATGCACCATTGGCTTCTGAATTCACCAGACAAACCATTCTTTGCGGGGTGAGGTGGGAAGCAATAATCTGTAGTGTCCTCCAGCATGGCAGAATAAATAATAGGGAGTGAAGGATTAACTCCTTGATATCACATGGCCTGCTTGACAAGTCTGTAAACTGAAGGTAAACGTAAAGTTTGAGTTCAAATTAACTCTTAATCACTACATGGATATATTCATGGTGTTTGCTTCACAGCAATATGAAAGTGGTTTGCGTTCTTCTGGGATGTTTTTTGACTTCCGAAAGCCCTGTAATTTCCTGGTAGTTTCCCATCCAGGTATTAACCAAGACCATCCCAGAATCGTTTTATCAGGATCCAAGGGTTGAATAGGTGACTGCAGCTGCTGTGATAGATATCTTTTTTAAAAAATGCTGAAACCTAACAAGTAAGTTTGAGTCAGCAATCACACAGAACAACATTCCTGACAATTGTTTATGTACAATATAGAGACAATAATCAAAAAAGATTGTAGAATTCAAATTCACTCAACCTTCAACTCCACAATCTGGATGGAGTTGGGAGGCTTGACTTTGGGCCAGTCACTCTCTCTCAGCCCAACCCACCTCACAGGGTTGTTGTGGGGAAAATAGCAGGCAGGAGTATTAGGTATGTTCACCACATTGAGTTATATGTAAAAAAGGTGGGATAAAAATCTAATAAAATAATAACAACGTAATAACCTACATGTATTAATTAATCATGCTAAGACATGATTCAACAGCTACTCTAAGGCACCACATATAATCCATGACAGCACCCAGTGAGGGAAGAACCCCTAAATGTTAGTATAAATTTATTATAAAAGAACATTAAACCCCCTTTCTTTGAGAAACCTTTATCATCTTGTAAGTCGTAAAAATGGAAAATCCCTAAATACAGATTTGTGAAGCATCTGTACTAATGTCAGTTCCAGGGCAAAAAAGTAAATGTATATTTTGTTTCAGATATATAAGGATCTTTAGTATTATAGGGCATTTCAAGGAAATGTAGTGTTAATATTGAAACTCAGTGCACATTCTCTGGGCATTTCTAGTTTTTAAGTAGTGCTAGAATTTAAACTGCTTTTGTTTATTTGGGGACAGAAAGAAAGGTGGTACAGTCTCTGAATAAAGATAAAATCAATACATCACTTTTTTATTGATACTTCATTTGGGATGCATGAGATTGAATTGTCTTAAGTCCATAAGGATTATGGCAGTATATAAATAAGATAAATAACTCTTCCAAACCAAGTGCAAAGAATAGTAACTGACATTGAACATCAAGATGTGGCATCAAGCAGCAATTATCCCTTGATGTTAAGAGAGGTAAGATAAGATTTCTTGGCATTGTGAAACCTTTCTGTATGCCATATTGCCCCCAGAAACAAATGGGTAGGGGATGCAAGTTTTTAACATAACAGTAGTCCCCATTCACTTTGTGCAAATAGATTTTGATAGAGCTTAGACAATAGAATAATCTTGACAATTTACAGGCATGAAAATTGACATGTCGCTGGATTATAGTTGTATTTATGTAGTGCATCCTAAGTAGAGGTGGAAAATAAATTAGCAGGCGGGATGATGAAAACACATTTATATGGTTTAAAAATAGTGACACAGTTCTGACACATTAGTTGGCATCAAATAAAAGTATGTTAAGGGAAAGGTAAATAAAAATGTGGTGGAATGTTTAGCTGTAATATGATTTTATGCTTAAAACAGGCATGTTGGACTCACATCAGTCTTGTGTACAGGTAGTCCTTGACTTAGGACCATTCATTCAGCAACCATTCAAAGTTACAATAGCCTTGAACAACAGGACTTATGACCAGTGCCTGAAGTTATGGCCGTTGCAGTGCCCCATGGTCACATGATCAAAATGTGGGTGCTTGGCAGCCTGCCCACACTTACAAATGCAGGGGCACTTCAACTGCTCCACCCACCTATATCCCCATCATCTATGCCCTTTTGGCCACCTTGCACCCTGTCTTGTGGAGTGGCAAGCAGCCCCAGAACTGTGCAGCTCTGGGGCTGCAAGAAGCCCCTGAGCCACAGCACAGAACAAAGCTGCAGCCGCCCCAGCCCTGTCACACAAAGCTGCCCAAGAAAGCTGCAGCCACCCTAGGCCAGCTGTTCTGAAGGACGCAGCAGGACGGAGCCAATGGAGGCGGCAGGGTGGTGGTGCGGGCAGTGGTTCCCAGGCAAAGGTGGAAGCTGTCAGTGCTGTGCAAGCTCTTGCGAAGCCTTGCACACCACTGACAGCCCTAGAGCCATGCCCTCGCCCAATGCCTGGATCCAGGGCCAGCAGTGGGAGGAAGAAGACAGCAAAGGTAAGCTGGGGGTGGCAGGGGTAGGCAGCAGCAGAGTGGAGGGCGTCCAAAAGGGCAGAGATGAGTAGATAGGCAGGTGGAGGGAGTTGAAGTGGAGGCAAGTGCAGCAGGGTGGTGGAGCCTAATCTGCTGAAAGGAGCTTGCCGGGCCTGGCTGGGGAGGAGGCAGTGAGACAAAGCCATCAGTTCATGCAAGGCAGGAGAAGTGTGAGGTCTTCACCTAACAATAGCATGGTCCTCGCCTAACAACCATGGCCAGGACTACCAGAGCCACCGTCGCTAAGCAACAGGGTCACATGATGTTTTGTCTAATGACAGTTTCACATAGCAATAGAAATTCCGGTGCCAGTTACAGTTGTTAAGTGAAGACTACCTGTATAAAGTGCAGAAGATATAATTCCACAATAATTATCCTTTAACTATTAGGTAGTATTTACCTAGATTGAGGGCAGCAGCAATGATTGAGCCTTTAATACTTCTGATGGTGAAATTTTGCTTTGGAGTGGTGGGAAGTAAGTATAATGGAAATATCAAATTCATTGATTAGTTCATTGAAATTAACTATATGTTTAAACTTTCTTTTCCTGTTCCCTTTTTATTACACATAACTATCAAGGGCAAAAAGTTCTGGTCATACCATTAGTTAGATAGTCTGTTGCTCTGCAATAGTAAAACTTTTGTGTTTATTTTAAAAATGCTAGCTTCAAAAAGAAAGAAAAAAAAACAACCAAGAAAGTCTTGTTCAGTTGACTTTTAAGGCACTCTTCAAGAAACTCTTTAGTATTTGACTGGTGGAGGACAAATCCAGCTATCCCTATGCTTTTACTATTAGACATGTAGTAATAGTACAAAAGTGTAATGTACATCATCAGTCCTGTCAGTGACAGTACCCATTAATGACACTTTTTTTTTTCTTCCTCTGCTCAGTTCTCAGTTGTACTAATGGAATGGCACATGAAGCAAGGCTGTAAATAAAAGTTATTACCTAATAGGTAGGCACTGAAGTGGAACGTACAGGAGCTGAGGCATAGAAACCTTATTACTGCTCATCAGCAATTATAAACAGGATAAAGTGTTTGGGACTTACACTGACACAGCAAAGGCTATTTGATGCTGGGACATGGTAATGGATCAAGATAGCATGATGGATGTTGATGAAATTTTACTGTCCCATCTTGCTGGCTGTTTCTGATATTAGTTGTGCTATCTCTTCCATATTTTCATATATGCGGGGGCCAGGGACAGATTCTATCCAAAAGATGGAAAGATGGCTTAATACATTGCATTAGATCTCAGGAGTTGTATTTTAAGTAATAAAGTTTGCCATGTTAACTATATATCCAAGTGGCCTTTGCTAAAGATTTTTTCTATCTTGGATTTTCCAGAATATGCTGATATATTTAATTTATGTTTATTTTGTATAATTCTAAAATGATTTTTAAGATCATTTCCTTGTTTCTCATTACCTCATTATTGCTAAAGTCTTGTAAGTACCTACCAATTAAATTTCCTGTTGCAGAAAATAATAGAGAGTATCTACACAGGTGCCTTTCTTACATCAATAACTTAACATAGCTAACAAACTACATTTCACCTCTTAAACTGATTAGTTGTAAAGTATTAATATATGTATGTATGTATAGTTAACAGCATTTAATCCAATATCCATAGAGATAATACATTTAACTAAACCAATTGTACAAAATCACTAACAGCTTTTGAGTTTAGGAATTCTTTGTCAGGCAAGTTGACTGGGCAAGGGAAGAAATAAAACGTAGCTGATCTAGCTTACATGGCTAGATTATATGATAGGGAGTTTTAGATGTGCAGATTGGATCATATCAGGGTCAGATTGTGATAAATATTCACCCAAATCTTTCTGGGAAGGAGGAGCAAGTAAATGTCTATAAATATAAATTCCAGCTGCTAAAAACAAATTACTTCCATCCTGTTGAAACACAGAACCATGCAGTCTTAGGAAAAAGTATGGCTATTTTAAGGAGCTACAGGAAGATGCTGTGTTCATGTGCCCATATGCTCTGAACCACCTTTTTGCCTTCAAATCTGAAGTCCTGAAGAGCCCCGAATGTGTATAACAAACATCTGATTTGAATTAGAGGTATACAGATCAGTGTAAGTTCTGTTCATTTCTGATTGATATACACGCAAGCATCAGTTATTCCCCTCGTTCTGTTGCACATACTTTT